AACCCCCAACTCTTCAAGGCAATTTTATCATCCTACGCTACAGACTATATATTATCCACTGGTTTCAATGAAATAGAATGGAAGACCGTGCATTTCAAAGGGACGAAGACAACGCCTATGAGTTATCTTCTGAAGCCTAAATTCTTCCCTATATGTCTAGTGCATTAATAGGGGAGACCGGGGCTAGTTGGACCCCGGGGTAAGTTGGCCCCCCGTCAATATATGAAAAAGTAACTACGAGGTAAAAAAATTGGCCACATACTCTTGTAAAGTGACCGTAGCCTACAATACTAAGGAAGTGTCGTACGTTAAAGAGTTTTCCTTTAGCGGTGAGTCCAAATGAACGATTTTTGCACCTAAAAGTAATTTTGTTTAAGAGAATTAAAAATCTATTTTCATAGGCTTTTAATGAAATATAATATATGTATAGGGCATCAAACTGAAGCTCAGTGTTTCAAGTTTCACAGAGATATATAATCGTTGCTCATTCTAGCATCATAAATGGCTGCCATCCTTTAAAATAAAAAAGGTGCACCCGGGGCTAGTTGGCCCCCTAGACTCGGGGCAAGTTGGACCCTCATGTTACCCACAATCCTTTGCGCGCAACGCTGTTTGAAATAAACAAGTTGGTGAAATTGACAAAGCTTGCCGGTGTTTACCGTCTGATTGTCTTTTCGAAAATTTATATAAGAAATGTTCTGTTGATTGTATGTATTAAAAAGCAAATCCATTGGACTTTCCCAAGAAAAACATTTATTTTGCCTCAATTCATTTTAAAGGGAATTCCCCTTTTTTATAGTGTTATATAGGGGATTTTCCACCCCTCCCTAGCTAGAGATCATTGTTCAAACAAACTCAATGGTTTAAAACTGAACTTGTTACTTTCTTTTAAAACGAAAATTTATCATTCGTTTTCATTCATTAAAAATCTGATTTATACCATTATTAATGTATTCTTAATTAAAACAAAACTATTTTATTGATAGATATTTTGGTTCTTGCAACACATACCCCCCCTACAACGTGACGTACTGAAACCTCAATAAATCTGCCTCATTTGAACTATTTATTCATCAAAGACACTCAAAAATCAGTTTTATAAATTAAAAATGTATAAAAATGTATTTCAAGGCGTTTACATGGGATATATACTTCATTTTCGTAAAGGGGAGCCAACTTGCCCCGACCATTGGGCCAACTTGCCCCGTGGCGGGGCAAGTTGGCCCCCTTGACGTCAACTGCGTTTTTTGTCAAATTGTGAGCCATCTGGCATTATATTTGAAAAAATAATGACGTTGCATACGTAGCTTAGTTCATGGGCCTTACTTTAAAACCGGTTCTGTTACTCTAACTCATTCCTAGTTGGCTCTACAAGGCCAAAAGTGTCTAACTGGGCCAACTAGCCCCGGTCTCCCCTACTAAATGCACAAGCATATTGGGCACTTTACGTATACTGACCAAATATGCAATGTTAAAAAAATACACGTTTATCAGTGGAACTGAATATCGAAATTCGTGAGGACGAGCTAAAAGTTAGTAATAGAGGTACATGATAATGAGTTTGCTAGCCTTATTGCAATCAGCAAGAGTTCCAGCGGAATGGGATCGAGCAACGTTTTTCATTGGGAATGAACCCTCAACGATGGCTCCGCTTCTTTATCGCCAAGAGTCTGGGGCGTGAATCACGCACGTCTGTCCTGAGTTAAATCGCTCGATTTAGCCCCTTTTAAACCCACTTTACACTGGACGGCGTCCTTTCTGTGTCCCGTAAGTACATGTACGGTCCTGTTTGAGAGTAAATTAATTATAATAATTATCATAATTTCCGTGCCGACAACTTGCCGATCATTGAGCATTTATTAATTTTTTGCAACGAACGCGATGCTTGTGCCTCCTATCGACGACCACAGCGATGTCAGTTTCATGGTCGCACAAAGGACGCAGAAAGAACGCAGGCCAAAGTAAAGGGGGTATCAGGAATGGAAAGAAAATACAAATACTACTCTCGCGCTCATGATAAGCCACTGTTTATTTTACACAGATAACACAAGGATAATATAGCGACCAAAATGTAACACTTAGGAATAATAAACATAAAGAACTACTTGAAAGTGAACATAGAAACAGATTACTACACTGTATTTCCGGGCGGATTGAAACTGTAGTTGGCTGTATACCGAGTTCTTTTCTGTATTGCCTTTCTTTCAAAGTATGCGCATTATCTATTGCGTCACCGTCTTATTTGCTGGTTTTAAAAATAATGAATGGTATCAATAGACAAAAGAATAACACACACACACACACATAATAATAATAATAATAATAATAATAAATAAATAAATAAATGAATAAATAAATAAAATCAAACTAAACCAAACTAAATCTATTACATTGTATTATATTAATTACAATGTGTGTTCTTCATGGGAGTTCTAGTTCAGTTTCATATATATGTATATGCACGAGTATTTATAGACAGACAGTCAAGTTGCCACTACCATAGTACCATGGCCCAAAGGAGCCTATGCATGGGTCTTTTAGACGCCCCTTAATATGCAAAAACGACACGCACCTTATTTTTTTCGTATGTTAATAAGTAGCGGAATTGACAAGGCCCGTGGCACATTTATCTTTTACTGCAGAGCTCGTCTCTTACTGTGGATATTAAATATTTTGAGCTTCAATAGTTATAAAACTCGAAATTCACATGGTCATCTCTTGTTCGTCATTCACTGAGACCCAAGAATGCGAAATTGACCAGACCCGCGCTGCGTTTGTCTTATACTCTGCGTCTCATAAATTTCAATAAAAGTCAATTTCGAATTTCGAGTTTTATAACATAGCTATTTGAAGCTCAAAAATCTACAGTAAGAGATGAATGCGACTTGGGTCGTGTCAATCTCGCATCTATGGAGTTCAGTAAATGGCGAAACAGACACAGCCATGTCATTTCTGGGGCTTAAAGCTCTGTGGTAAAAGACGTATTCTGCATGTGCCTTGTTATTTTCGCTGGCTATAGGGCTTAATAACATACGAAATCGAAATAGAAATGGTTCAAGTCGTTTTAGAATGTTAAAGGGGCGTCTAAAAGACGCGCGCGCAGGCTCCTATGGGCCATGGTAGGAAAGGAAATGCATCCTTCAACATATTGTGTTATAATATTCTTGACTAGTCCTGAATTTTTTAATATTAAGATAAAAATAAAATGCGACTTCACCCAGCCGATGGCAGGTTTGGTATATATGTTTTACTGATACTTTGAAGATGTATTGATGTTAAACTAATCAATAAAGTTCAAAAACAAAATGTGTGTATGTTTTGACGGATTTTATTGTTGATAAACGACCGTTCTCGGCCGAAATAGGCCGCGGAGACCATGTCTTGTGAAACTTTAGGGATTTTTACACATCCTTTTCCTGAAGAATTTCTCGTTCGCGGCGACAACTGTAAGCAAACAATGCCAGGGCTTTAGATTCTTTATGAAACATTCCTAGTCGACTGCAGCGTAGTCGACCTAGCTTGGTCATTCAGCTCGAGCCAGTCAACTACGGATTTAAGGTTCTTTGTAAATCGGGGGCCTGCTCTGTAAACATGCACTTAGTATTCAGTTGGCATGGTCACGTTTCAAAATGTAAAACTCATCATATTGCGCTGCAATTAAACTTATAGCAACAAGGCGTAATGCGCTTGTCATCTTCTGTACATCCCTCAAAGCTATGTATGTTTTTTTTCTGATTAGGCGCCAGGCGCAATAATTGTCCCATTTTAGTGCTCAGTTCTAGTTTTATAAAACCTTGTTGTCTAAACAAACATGTTCTTTACAGAAATAAAATATTTAACGAGCGCAGGTTAAGGCATTATGGTCCACCATGGCTGCACTTCATTACAACTGTCATTACAACAGACTGTCATTACAACAGATCTAGACAGCTATTTCCTTCAAGTCTGCGTTGAGGTTCCTGTGTTCATTAAGATTTTTGTTTCAATTTCATACATTCCAGCTTATTTTGGAACAAAGCAATTGCAGAATTTGGTTCCAATTTTTCCGCGCTTTGCAATTTCGTTGATACGCGTAAGTTATTGACTTTTTATTTGGAGAGCAAGGACAGTCTTTAGGAAGCGGTGTTTGAACGCGGCCGGTGAGGCTACATATTTCCCCTCAATTCAGACAAATGTCACAGGGATCTTGTACTAGACTGCCATTAAATCCGTCTTTGGCGGTTACATTGGCCATTGGCAATAACAACACAATAGGTGTGCCAGCAGTGCATCCGTTCTTAGTATTATATAAAGCAGCGCGGTTACTAGTAACGTCATACAGATCCAACACTGGAACCGAAATGAAGCGATTCTGTGCACTCATTCTGACTGCTACTCTGTTGCTGAACGAGGGTAATGGTAAGCTATTGATAATTGTATAATTGTATTCCATAAACTGTCGATGAAAAGGACAACGTTCAATATGACAAACTTTGACTATCATATCTCTATCCAAGCTTTGCAGTATTTTTCAATATAACATATCTTTTTTGAGGTTCAACTTAGTACATTGTCATAAAAAACAATAACAGACATTACAATACGAGATAAAGTCAACAGTAAAATAACTTCATGGTATATATAGGTTTACTGAACATCACACAAGCTTCTTGAAAATGACTGGCATGGGCATATCCATGCATTCGATATTTCTGTAAGTCATTTACTTAGTTGTAGCCATTGATGCCTTTTCCGGATCAACTGAGTTCCTAAATAATGACAAAATGGACTCCATGATTTCTTGGTATGATTTCTTTCTTGATTTCATCTTCCTGTATGATGACAATTGCGTGATAACAAGGTCATTTTTGCATGTAGACACTCGAACTCCTAAAATGGGGACTAAAAGGTCATATATATATATATATATATATATATATATATATATNCATCCGTTCTTAGTATTATATAAAGCAGCGCGGTTACTAGTAACGTCATACAGATCCAACACTGGAACCGAAATGAAGCGATTCTGTGCACTCATTCTGACTGCTACTCTGTTGCTGAACGAGGGTAATGGTAAGCTATTGATAATTGTATAATTGTATTCCATAAACTGTCGATGAAAAGGACAACGTTCAATATGACAAACTTTGACTATCATATCTCTATCCAAGCTTTGCAGTATTTTTCAATATAACATATCTTTTTTGAGGTTCAACTTAGTACATTGTCATAAAAAACAATAACAGACATTACAATACGAGATAAAGTCAACAGTAAAATAACTTCATGGTATATATAGGTTTACTGAACATCACACAAGCTTCTTGAAAATGACTGGCATGGGCATATCCATGCATTCGATATTTCTGTAAGTCATTTACTTAGTTGTAGCCATTGATGCCTTTTCCGGATCAACTGAGTTCCTAAATAATGACAAAATGGACTCCATGATTTCTTGGTATGATTTCTTTCTTGATTTCATCTTCCTGTATGATGACAATTACGTGATAACAAGGTTATTTTTGCATGTAGACACTCGAACTCCTAAAATGGGGACTAAAAGGTCATATATATATATATAATCAATTATACTATCAACAAGGCATATCAACGACGGTAAATGAGCTCTCGGACATTTTAAAGAAGATTGTGGCTCCCTGTACCACCGAGCAAGCCAACTGTAAGAACCCTGCTCTTGATATTGTCTTCGCATTGGACAGCAGTTCGAACATTAATGATACTGAGTTTAAGATGCAGAAAAATGCCACAAAGGTAAATAGTGCTTTGATAACCTTGAATCCAAATTAAAAAAAAAAACGTATGTCAAAGAAACTTAGTTTTACTTTGAATTCAAAATGTAAATAACATCTAAAGAAGATATATGTATTCAACTCTTGCTTCTACACGTCAGTGATCTTACCATGGGCTATTTCTAATGTGTTTACTTATTTTTATACGTTGAAAAAGAAATATATCTGGCGAGCATTTTTATTTTGATCTGATACAGCGTGGTTTAATTGTAACCATATTTTGTGCAGTTCTATGAGATTACAATGCTTCTTCTTAGATCGCATTCACATCGAGAAGAGCCGAGGCTCAACAAGGCCGAGATCTAAATATGGCGGACGTACATGAAAGGAAAACTGCCTAATCCTTTATTGGTCTCTCCGCCTCTCACACGCCTCCCCACGCGTCGTCCCTGCGGGAGTGCAGTCATTAAATCTCGGTTCCATTCGCCCGGAAGCTACCTGAGAAAAATTAAGTGCGCATGTCGATCAGTTTAACTCGAGGTGAAGAAAGCATGGCGGCTGGAGGCGATCACAGGAAAAAGCTCTTCTGTTCTATTATCTTTCAAAACAGAGACGAAAAAGGAATGAATTGGCCCTTAAAGCAGCAATGAATCGGCTATCTACGGCTCTTCTCGATGTGAATGCGGTCTTACACCCCATTCTCATAGATTAGATCGACCTACATTGGATCGACTAACTCCCTGGGGGTTCACGCTAAATAGCTGTCAGCCGGGCGGACACGAAAGTTAATTACCCCTTAAAGCTTGTAGTAGGCGGGGACGGACACTTAAGGGGGATTATCTGACAGTAATCTAGTGAGACTCCCCGCGGTGATAGATCGATCTAAAAGTTGTGAGAACAGAGCCTTAGACAGGCTTAGGGACTAATCCCAGGCCCTTTCGTACTAACTGTGGATTGGTCTATCTCCAAGGGGAGTCTCGCTAAATTGAAGTAGGCTTAAACGGTTTTAGAGAAACTTCTTGGAGATGGATTGATCCAGTTAGATCGATCTAGGTATGAGAACCCAGTCTTATTCTCTGCGTGCGTTATAATGCACAGTTTACAAAACTTGAAAGAGTCACAATTTGTCAAAATGAATATTTTTGGTTTGACACCAATATATTTGGTTTCATATATGATAACATTTCCATCATCTTAGCATTGTGTATGTATTGAATGTATTGAAGCCACGCTTGCCCTTATTTCTCAGGCGATTGCTGACTTCATCGATAGGCATAGTCCCATTACCCCCGATGGAACCCGGGTTGGTGCATTGACGTTTGCCACTGATGTGGTGAGAGAGTTCGAGCTGAATGAACACACTGGTTTGGAAGATGTTCTAGGTTACATTTATGAAATTAACAATAGAAGTAAGTCAATCTATTTCTCTCCCTCTTTCCTAACTCTCTCTTTCTCTCTCATAAACATACAAACGCAAGATCTCTCTCTCTCTCTCCCCCCCTCTCTCTCTCTCTCTCTCTCTCTCTCTCTCACACACACACACACACCTCCATTATTATACAAAATCATTTTTTGTCTCTTTTTAGTGGGAGACACGAACATAGAACTGGCTTTGGAGACCGCACAGCTGATGTTTGAAGATTTTTTCTTGGAAGAAAGCCCAAAGCTAATATGGCTACATACTGACGGGGTGTCTAACCTGGGGGATCCGATACCAAGAGCAACAAGTATTAAAAATCAAGGTTAGTATATCCCTGAAGCGTCTATATGGTGAAAACTATCTAATCAATATTCAGTCCAAAGACTTCCATTACTTTAAGTTGACTGAGATATTGTTTCGTAAATAATTTGAAATGTCGAGGGTCAATCGTTCTGGAAAGTCTCTGTGACCAATTTTGTAGTTGACTTTTTCTGTACCTTATTTTAGCGATCTTCATAAAGCCTTAAAACGTTATTGTGATAATCTCACAGGTCAACATGATTTGAAAAAATCCATATTGAATGGCAAGTCTGTATATAAATATCAATCCTCTTATCTGATCAGACCATAATTGATGTGATCCTTGAAACAGTTCTTATTCATATTTACCATCTGAAAATGAAATGAATGAATGAAATAAATGAAAGAGACGTATATGTATAATTTTTTGTTTGTTTTTTTTTTTTTGGATAAATCATAGTTTCTGTCACCATTTTTTATTAAATCCTTATCTATATTTATTTCCAGGATGGACTATGTGCGTGGTTTCTATTGGTAACCATGCGGATGTAGATGGAATCGACGACATAGCATCTCCGGGATGTGTTGTCAAATTTGGGAGTTTTACAGAGTACGCAAATGTCGCAAGAATGGCTCTGGGCCAACCCCAAATTGATATTTTGGGTTAATTCTTCGTGTCTTTTGGAATCGCAATACCAATATATGTTCGAGATCCGTTCAATACAAAAGTGTTTGCACGCATTATATAAGTCATTGAAATGGACAATAGCGAGGAAAAAATTACCACTGTTAAAAGCAAGAAGAATGCTGTTAATCTGCAATAAATGTCATCACCTTGGTCATCACCGGGGTGTAATTTATCTCGTATTTATGTTCCTTAACTTATGCGTTGTAATTGCTTTGGATTCCCAAAAACACCTTTAGTACAATGTCACCTTGGTTCTTGTGAGATGTAATGCTTAAAAAAATAATAATACTTAACTGGCTTAATTATTCTCACTTATAAAACAACCATTAAAGGGATAATAACTTTCAGTTTTGGCCAAAAAAAAAAGAATTTTCCCGGAGTAAACAACAATTTTCCCATGCTTACCAATGGTTAATGAATCCATTTTTACATTCAAAGTTAGTCCCTGTTTTATTTTTCTAAAAAATTGTTTTTTTGCTAAAATCTCTTAAGAGATTTTAACAGAGTATAGCCATCAATGGAGGTCACGTGGTTTGAAGACAAGCTCAGATATCAGAATAATAGCGATAACTGCTGTTTTTGTCGTAAAACAGAATATATTATATTTCTATGACTTATTCACAATGTTTTTATTGTGAAATATAGACCTCATACGAAGAGTTATTATCCCTTTAAAGCACTATTGGTATCATCGATGCAGCATATATTTCAAAACAAATTGTCTGCAAATTAAGCACTATTTTTCACCCTTAAAATTGGTGACGTTTTCATACCATGCCCCTATTATTTCTACAAGTATTCTCTGCCCAAAATGCATAAAGATACATTGTTATCTTATCGTGTTTTTTTTCTCCGAGTCCACGACTCTACTCCGGTTGACCTCCAGCTAAAAATGACCACTCAGTCTCGCGTCTTACACCACTACACGTTACTTTGATATTGATTAATTATTATTATTATTATTATTATTATTATTATTATTATTATTATTGTTATTATTATTTTACTCTCAACGGGGCCGTTTCACGCCACAGACTCTTGGCGATAAATAAGCGGAGCCATCGTTGACCCCGGGATTAAGCGTTATCGGGATAAACAATGTTACCATTGGTTTTAACAGGACTTAAAAATCCATGGTATCGGTTGAAATTCCTTCATTAACATAGAAAATTGTAAATAAGCCAGCAGCAATGCTACATCACACCCCCCCCTCCCCAGGGATAAGTTAGTGAAACGCCGCGCCACGTTGTGAGACTATGTACTCATTCCCAATGAAATACGTTGCTCGATCCCATTCCACTGGAACTTTTGCTGATTGCAATAAGGTTAACAATCTCATTATCATGCAGCTGTATTAAAAACTTTTACCTCGTCCACACGAATGTCGATATAAAGTTCCACTGATAAACGTGCAACATTTGCATATTTTGGTCAATATACGCAAAGTGCCAATACGCTTGTGCATATAGTATACATGCACTACACATATAGGGAAGAATTTGAATAACGCATATCTGTTGTCTTCGTCCCTTTGAAATGTACGCCCTTCCATTCTATTTCATTGAAACCAGTGGATAACATATAGTCTGTAGCGTAGGCTAATAAAATTGCCTAAGAGTTGGGGGTGGGGTGGGGGTGGGGGTTGTTGCATGAAGGCCTACAATCCACGCAAGTATATTATTTGACTTGCTCTGGTACTAATCTACAAACTAACAGAAGGAAAAGTGTTGGCCACCTGATGACAGGGAGAAAAGTAAGGGCTTACATTATGAAGACCCCCTCCCCATCCAAAGTTTTGTTTTAATGAACTGATGATGGAACTAGGGCGCTGTCTAAGTAACCAGTGACAATCACTGCTCCACTCTCTATACTTTTCACCATGACACTTTTAACTCATAGCCCCAGGCTTGTACTTTTATTCCACCAAATGCCAGGTTTCGATACAAATCCAACACTTTTATGTTAGAGTGTGTTAGGTGAGACACCTTGGAGTGCACGACATTCGGAACATCTACTGCAATGGGTGTCTACCCCCCCTCCCCCCCCCCCCCCCCATAGACGTTTCAATAAGGGGTACCTGAGGAGATGAGAATTTATCAAAACTGTGCCGGAGGTGGTGTAAGACGCGAAGCTGAGTGGTCATTTTTAGCTGGAGGTGAACCGGAGTAGAGTCCTGGACTCGGAGAAAAAAGCAGTTTTTCTAACAACACTGTAAGATAACAATGTATATTTATGCATTTTGGGCAGAGAATACTTGTAAAAATAATAGGAGCATAGTATGAAAACGTGTCATGAATTTTAAGGGTGAAAAATAGAGCTTAATTTGCAGACAATTTGTTTTGAAATATATGCTGCACCGATGATACCAATAGTGCTTTAATGGTTGTTTTATGAGTGAGAATAATTAAGCCAATTAAGTATTATTTTTGTTTGCTTCATCGAAGTCACAATGTCACTGAAAATTATTTTAAAAGCAGAATATATATTTTTTCATTTATCAGCTATAAAAATGAAAAAAAAAGAGGAAAACGATTTATCAATCAACAATCGGTAAAAAAATAATAAGAACAATCTTAAAAAAAACTATTAGTTTGATTTCTTGTGAATAGCCATTTTTTAAGCATTTCATTTAAAAGAACCAGGGTGACATAGTACTAAATAGATTTTTTTTTGGGGGGTGATCCACAGCAATTACAACGCACAAGTTAAGGAACAAAAATGCGAGATAAATTACACCCCGATGACCAAGGTGATGACATTTATTGCGGATAATCAGCATTCTTCTTGTTTTTAACAGTGGTGATTTTGACTTTGTTATTGTTCTACTTCAATGACTTATATAATGCGCAAACACTTTTTTGTATTGAACGGATCTCGTACATATATTGGAAATGCGAGTCCAAAAGAAGAATTAACCAATAATGTCAATTTGGGGTTGGCCCAGAGCCATTCTTGCGACAATTGCGTACTCTGTAAAACTTCCAAATTTGACAACACATCCTGGAGATGCTATGTCTTCAATTCCATATACATCCGCATGGCTACCAATAGCTACCACGCAGATTGTCCATCCTGGAAATAAATAGAGATAAAGAAGTGATAAATAATGGTGACAGAAACCATTAATTATCCAAACAAACAAACAAACAAACAAAAAATTAAACATATAGGTATCTTTCATTCATTTCATTCTTTTCAGATGGTAAATATGAATAAGAACTGTTTCAAGGGTCACATCAATTATGGTCTGATCGGATAAGAGGATTGATATTTATATACAGACTTGACATGGATTTTTTCCAAATCATGTTTACTGGTGAGATGATCATAATAACGTTTTAAGGTTTTGTGAAGATCGCTCAAATCGGGCACGGAAAAAGTCAACTACAAAATTGGTCACAGAGCCTTTCCATAACGATTGGCCCTTTACATTTCAAATTATTTAAGAAACAATATCTCAGTCAACTTAAAGCAATGGAAGTCTTTGGACTGAATATTGATTAGATAGTTTTCACCATATAGACGCTTCAGGGATATACTAACCTTGACTTTTAATACTTGTTGCTCTTGGTATCGGATCCCCCAGGTTAGACACCCCGTCAGTATGTAGCCATATTAGCTTCGGGCTTTCTTCCAAGAAAAAATCTTCAAACATCAGTTGTGCGGTCTCCAAAGCCAGTTCTATGTTCGTGTCTCCCACTAAAAAGAGACAAAAATGATTTTGTATAATAATGGGTGTGTGTGTGTGTGTGTGTGTGTGTGAGAGAGAGAGAGAGAGAGAGAGAGAGAGAATCGTGTGTGCGTTTGTCTGTTTATGAGAGAGAAAGAGAGAGTTAGGAAAGAGGGAGAGAAAGAGATTGACTTACTTCTGTTGTTAATCTCGTAAATGTAACCTAGAACAGCTTCCAAACCAGTGTGTTCATTCAGCTCGAACTCTCTCACCACATCAGTGGCAAACGTCAATGCACCAACCCGGGTTCCATCGGGGGTAATGGGACTATGCCTATCGATGAAGTCAGCAATCGCCTGAGAAATGAAGGCAAGGGTGGCTTCAATACATTCAATACATACACAGTGCTAAGATGATGGCATATTAATCATACATAAAACCAAATATGTTGGCTTCAAACCAAAAATATTCATTGTGACAGATTGTGGCTCTATCATGCTTTGTAAACTGTGCATTATAACGCACGCAGAGAATAAGACTGGGTTTTCATACCTAGATCGATCTAACTGGATCGATCCATCTCCAAGAAGTTTCTCTAAAACCGCTTAACTAGACTGCAATTTAGCGATGATCCCCTTGGAGATAGATCAATCCACAGTTAGTACGAAAGTGGCCTGGGAATGGTCCGTAAGCCTGTCTAAGACTGCATTCACATCGAGAAGAGCCGTAGATAGCCGATTCATTGCTGCTTTACGGGCGAATTAATTCCTTTTTCGTCTCTGTTTTGTAAGATTCGATCGCCTCCAGCCGCCATGCTTTCTTCACCGCGAATTTAACTGATGGGCATGCGCACTTAATTTTTCTCAGGTAGCTTCCGGGCGAAAGGAACCGAGATTTAATGACTGTACTCCCGCAGGGACGACGCGTGGGGAGGCGTGTTAGAGGCGGAGATACCATTAAAGGATTAGGCGGTTTTCCTTTCATGTACGTCCGCCATATTTAGGTCTCGGTCTTGCTGACCCTCGGATCTTCTCGATGTGAATGCGGTCTAAGAAGAACCGTTGTAATCTCATGTAATTGCCCAAAATATGGTTACAATTAAACCACGCTGTATCAGATCAAAATAAAAATGCTCGCCAGATATATTTCTTTTTCAACGTATAAAATAATTAAACACATTAGAAATAGCCCATGGTAAGAGCACTGACACGTAGAAGAGATAGTTGAATACCTATATCAGCAAAACTTCTTTAGATGTTATTTACATTTTGAATTCAAAGTAAAACTTCTTTGATATACGTTTTTTACATTTTGGAATCAGGGTTATCAAAGCACTATTTACCTTTGTGGCATTTTTCTGCATCTTAAACTCAATATCATTAATGCTCGAACTGCTGTCCAATGCGAAGACAATATCAAGAGCAGGATTTTTACAGTTG